CACACACACACAGAAAGCCTTACCGTCTCTCTCTTTAACTCCCAGGAACATCACCACCGTGCAGATGAGAAACACTCCTCCAATAACACCGGCTGCGATCATGTACACCTCCCTCTGCGGAGAGACAGAACAAACATGCAAAACCTACATCAATCCATCTGTCCTTAAAGAGGTGCACGCAAATCTATTCTGAGCCTCTGCCTCAATCTTTAATTCATCCTCTTCCCAAATGCCTGAAAAATTTAAGGGACTCTGCAATTTGTCATACGTCTCATTGTGGAGAAAGCTGCCACAGTAGGTGTCAGTTTTTATTCTGACTGGTGTTTTTTTCTTCAAAGTATGATTTACTTTCTGTGTTGTTTTTCCACATCGGTTTAAAAGTGCAAACTCACACGCTTCACACACGCACTGTGGAAATGCAAGCATAAACAGGAAGCAAACCTCAAGTACATCTGCATCCCAAAATACAGCCTTAACCGTTTAAAGCTGAAATACCCCGACAGGAACTGCTCTGCCTTAAACAACCTCTGTTTGTTTGCTGTTTTTTCCATGTGTGGCTCAGCCCAAGCAACTCATTATTATTTACGCACATCAAACGCTCCCTGTTTCCGAGGGCAGACGCAGACGGTGTGCCACCCTCACCAGCGACCGCGGAGGAATTCGGCGGGTGGCTGCGGAGGGTTTGGCACGGCCAGCGGGTCGCCCCTGATAGGGTTCACCCAAAATCCATTGGAAAAGCACCCATTTCAATCCCAAATAGCTGTGGCGCGACCAAAATCCAGGACAGTCTGGACTCTTGGCTTGTTTCATCTTCACATGATAGATTCACAGCAGCGGGGGCCGTGTTTATTTGCAGCTCTGCAAATGTGGAGACCCCTCGGTGTAATGGGGCCACACTTTGGAGATGTGAGGGTGGAACCCCCTTTGTGGTCTTGTGAGGGGAGCCGGCTCAGGATGTCGGGTTCAGATATCAAACAGTGGCGTCTCCTTTCAAACCCGTGGGTTACTTGGGTTGAAACACGAAGCCCATTTGGATGTCAGAACCTGCCGACGCTCTATAATGTGGACCTATTTTCGAACAATCGTCCTTTTCACTCGGGTGTTTAGGAAAAGTAAACCGCCTTGAGCACACACGCTGCAGCTCCATGTTAACCTGACGCTCCCAAAGTTATTTTCAAACCAACTCTGTGGCCTAGTTTGAGCACACCTGGCCTTGACCGTGACACTTACAGCGTGTGACAGGTAGTCCTGCGAGCGCACCAGGCTCTTGACGATCTCTGCCCCGCTGCTGTTGCCAAGGTAACCGGTGGACACGTTGTGAGTCGGGCAGTGCTTCAGCGTGTGAGCGCTGGCCACAATCTGGCCCTGGATGGCAGCTCCCACCAGTGTCCCCAGAACCTCCATTGTCATTCCTGCAATCAAGTGATTACAGATACAATTGTTACAGTCAAGTACATTTATAACTGCTCAGTAACCTTTCTCATACTGTAAGATCTTACGGTAGGCAGTGGCTGAGTCTCTCTCCTTCTGTTCTGTACTCAGGAACATGGTGAGAGCGGAGTAAGGCACGTGGAAACACTAAAATGGAACAAAGAGACACAGTCGTGGTTTAGTTAAAACAACTAATTATTTAATTCTGACACAGCAGCTGGAAAAGTCAGCAATTTGAAACTGTCAACAAGCATCCTTGGTCCCCAGAGGATGAATACGAATACTAATGATGTTGGGGCTACACTGTGATGGACTGCTATTAATGTTATAAGCCATCAAGTCAAAATTCCTATTTGCTTCCCCCGTGTTAGTGGATGGGACATGGGCCAAGGAAAAAATTCACATACAAAGTACATGGTTTTGATATTTTAGGCAGTTCTTATCACAATGATGTAAGTGCAATTTTGTCTCGTAAGTCTCAATCGATGCAATAAAAACTGGTATAATGTCATGATGGACAGCTGAGACTGACTCATGATTGGTCGAGAGTGTGTGACCTTGAAACTGCTTCTCGACACTACAATCGCTACTCTGCAGACCCCGGATCAAAATGATGCCAAAAGCACAAGATGGTGGCTCCCGTGTCCAGGATATTTTGGCTTCATTCTTTGTACATTGGAAGGAAGTTGGAGACACGTCGTCAATCTTTTTATACAGTCTGTGGTTGAACTTGCCAAAGATTATACCTAAGACACTCATCACCCATCGCACCTCTTTGGCCTAAATCAGCCTCCCAGTGTCACAAACAAAAGTCGAACTTTTGTCCTCGTTAGCATTTAACATTTGACTCACAATCAGATGGGAACACCCCAGATATCTTTAGTCGTCTTTCATCTACGTGTTCCCGTGAAAAAACGGATGCAAAATATTCTCCTCGCTGACTATATATACTAAACGCAATCTCTGCAGTTTCCATGTTGGCGAACCTCAGATCTGTTTTCTCCTTCCTCACCACCTCTCCCAGAGAATAGGCGAGCAAACCCAGTTCTACTTCGCTTTGTAATTTACACAAGGGCTCAGTCAGCACTGCGGCCAAACGAGCATGCGATGAAAATAAATGCGGCCGTGATTTTTTTTTTCTTTCTGCTTCTTCTGCTGCTTCTACAGCATGTGATTTACGGGGCCTTTCTTGGATGCAAACATTTATAGAATTGCGCGTGAATATTTATCCCATCACGATGGAAGTGAGAAGTGATTAATTTGATGGAAACCCTTTATCCGTTGATTGCATGAGCGGACGACATATTGCACTCTAACCTCTTGTTTACAGACTGCGACCCTCTGAAAGACGGCAGCTGGCCATTCCCAGCAAACGCCACACAAACACCAGATCCAGAGACAATGAAGGGGAGGCTAAAAGAGGTAACCAGCATTTACCCAGCGAGAGGTTCCTGGCAGGGCTGACCATGTACTTATCAAGTAGTTAGAATGACATGCCATTACAGCTCGCCACAGTGCGGCCGCGGCGGTCTACACGCTCTGCAGCACATGTTATATGGGTTACCCCAGAGCAGGGCAGAGCAGAGAGGTTCCATAATAACAAAAGGCAACCTAAATAACTACACTTCCCTTTGAGGTGAAGTATCTGGGCTCTAATCTGCTGCTCGTCTCACAAATCAAACTGTGAATCTCCCCAGGAGCTGTCGGCGGCTGGCATGAGATGACGGCAATCATCTTCTCTTCAAAGTTCGTAGCGCTTTATCTGTACGGTATGTAAAGTATCATCTCTGGTATCAACTGGAGCTTTTATCTATGTTACTCACTGGACGTCCTGCTGGGCAATATGAAGTATCACGCACCAATGTGTTTTTTTTGTTTTTTTATTAAACATGACATACACAGAGGTTCTGAAAGAGCGTGCATGCAACACTTACAGTGATGAGAGTTTGGTAGAGGCAGTAGAAGCCCAGGTACCAGATGAACCTGCCGCCGATGAAAGGAGGAACGAACCAGAGGTAGAAGTAGGAGACCACCAGGAATGGACTGCAACCCACCATCCTGCAGAACACAGACACAAACTTGTGGAATTGGTGAAAAAGCAATAACAACTTTTTTTTATATTTGCCCTACATTTTTCTCGCCCTGAAGGAAGACAATTATATGAATAACTTTTATGCCTCTGTGATTTACAAAAGCAGCCGCTGTCAGCACTTCAAGCCGTCAGAAAATGCATGACAGTGGCTGTGTTATGTAATTTTCAAAGCGGTGTTAAAATCAGACCATATTTCAGGCAGATTACAGTTGGACTAAGCTGACTGCTCAATGATTATGTTGTTGTAAGTATGGCAGGAATCTGTCCTGGGAGGGACACGCAAGCAATGGAATGACCACAATCTTCTAAAACCCATACATATCATTGCACGTACACATGCACACACACACACACACACACACATAAATATGCAGTACACACTCAAGCAAACGCAGCATGAAGCATTTCTGCTGTGTTGTGTTTTTCTCAGGACTTGGGGGCGATACAGTCCATGGACCATGTATAATTCATAAGTAAACAACTGGTATGTGTCATTATGGTTAAAGCAAACAGCTGCATGTTTTAAAAAGGAAGAGGAAAGGGCAGATGATGGACGGTCAACAGTACGAGACATGTGCAAACAGCAATACATCATCGGACTTTCTCCTCCCTTTCTTTTCAAGAGCAAACAGAGAGTATTTGTCATCTGGACTAAAGGCCAGTACCACCAGCACATCTAATGATAAAATATAGGCGCGGATGGAATTTAGGTGACTGTGACAAAACCTGCCGTCGCTCTGACCTCTGACCTCCTCCGCACTGTGAACTATGAAGAGAGAAAGCGGGAGAAAGAGGTAGAGAGAGGCCAGTTTCGTCATTTCTAGCATGGTCCAGCCCGCCCATCCCCACTCTCCTCCCGATTGTTTGCTTAACAAAGGCGGGCCAACAGCGCTGGTGCTGCAGTATTGACCGCTCGGTCATGTTGAGCAATGAAAGGGCCCCGGGGTCCGCACGGGTGAATGGGACAGTTTAGAATGTTCCTGCAAGATGACTGTGCTCGGGGGGAAGGCATGCATGCTTAAAACACTGTCTGACTGTCTCACCCATGCAGCGACGCATTAATGCACATTCACACCTACAGTTATCTGCACAGTCTTAATTAAGACGGAGGAGGTTGATAGGATGCTGACACTTACAATAGTGTCCTCACTGACTTGTCTGGGACACTTAGAGCAGGCTAATTAGACGATGTGCAGTGGAACAGAGGGGATTTAGAAGAGGTCTGATAGGTGAGAGTGTTTCCTTGGACAATTTTGGGTTTTGTAGTGTTCATATAGCCAAAACATAATAATTACCTAACTACTTTTAGTCAAATATCATGGGTCCTATTTATCCCAGATTTTAGTAGTTGCTGAACTTGAGTATTTCCATTTTATCGGCTTCACACTTCACACCGACCAGAGCTCTGGAGCAATCCTGATGGGACTCATCAACATAAGTGAGGTTTTCGATCCCAACAACAGCAACGATTCTCCAGTTCAGGGTTTTGCGTACTGAACCAAGCTTCATAGAACTTTGAATGAACAGGTGAACAGCTCATCGCAGCGGTGGGGACAAAACGTCAGGGTTTAGATATACAGTTTCAGAAAGAAAGCTGCAACCAGCATCAACACAGGCTAAGAAAAGAGGCAGGTTTAAAATAGGCACTGCACTAGTTATTCACAACTTATAAACCTATCTATAAACAAACTTCGATGTGTAAATTCTCCTTTAAGATTTTACATTGGAAATACTTGAGATATACAGAAGACTGTAGTGTCTGAGTGGGGCCCCTGTTTGTAGTTTTTAGACGTCTGACTTGTCAGCAGAGCCACCAGAGAGTGATTCTCCCTCCAAAATTCTCAGATGGTAATCGTTTAAACAACTCTTTGACACCGAAAGCAAATATCACAGAAATATTCTCCAAAAAGTGAAAACAGATTTGCGCAGCAGAGCATTATTTTTATTTTTCCTTTCTTTCTCTTTTTTCTCATTAATCATCTCACGACCCACCAGATTTACTTTGAGACCCTTTGAGAGGGGAGACTGACGCCCCGGCTGGGAACCATTTGATAAAACTAACCGAGCAAAGTGGTTAGAGGTGGCTGCATATGTATTAAAATACTATGTACTGACGCATTTATTCATCTAATAATGATTCATTAATCTATGTAATATAATGTATAATGATACCAGATTTTGTAAGTGATCATACTTCTTTACTTAAGTGGATTTTACAATTTATTTATAACTGTATTGGTACTTTTACTTATAAATAAAGAAGTACTTCTTCCACCATTGATATTCTCTTACTGTCACATAGTCTTTCACTTACAGAAACAATCTTGTGTGAGAAAAACTACATTTTTACTTGCTTGTGGGATGATGCTCAACTACGATCACAAAATAATAAACACCTCAACAGCCACAGGAACATGTTGGTCTAAATGACTCCATCCTTAAGAGCTCAGGCCAAGATACAAATCTCTTTATGTCTCGGCGTGGATGGGACAGTCAGACGAGGAAAAGCACTTCCTGCTGGATGGACAGAGGGGACTTTCCGAACACACACACACACACACACTCAAACACCCCTACAGCTTCCCAAAGGTAATCAAATCTGATTTAACAGCCATCAGCATAAGCCTGCTGCTGAGCACGACCAGCCACAGTGGACCTGCCCCCCTTCAACACTGTCAGCTTGTGAGTAATCTATGGTTTATAATGCAGAAGGCATAAGGCAGTGTAATTACAGTAAATGTCAGGCTAGTGTGTTCATAATATATTGCACACACACAGACACACACACACACACACACACACACACAAAAGCATACACACATAGCCGATTAAAACTCACCATTGAAAATGGTGATTAATGGAAAATGTGGTCATAGCTATATATAATCTATTAGACACAACCAATGTGTCTGAATTCAGGGTTGCATCCTTTGCATTTTGCTTTGGTGAGACATCAAGCTTGAGTATCAAGTTTCAACTTAACCTAACAGGTAGCATGTTAAAAAAAAGGGCAATAGAACTTTCTTGACGTATCCAACTTCAACTCTGTTATCAAGCTGGTGACAAGTTAGCCAATCACAGAAATCCTCTGTAGACCAGACCGTCTCATTTCGACTTGGTCTTCACGGTCTGCGTGGCCCATGTTGATCGCCTCTTCTTCGTGGGCCGGGAAGACTGCACCTTCCGAAGGATGCAGCCCCTGACTTGAGACACAGCTAAGGACAACTAAACTTGAAGGTCATGAGACACAACAAAGACAACCTGTATGATGTGGGGTTACAGACGTGATGATATGTCACACACCGGCTAAGTTGAAGGAGAGTTTTGAAAGAACGCAGATGAGCTCCCATGGCTGCAAACTTATTGTCGGGCATCAACCGCAAAAAAAACAGAAATGGCCCACGCCCTTGAATTACTGTATGTATAGCTCATCAGAGGGAGCACCAGGAACAGTGTAATTAAAGCACAATGGCTGTTTATGCAGCGCAATCCTCAGGTGAGAGACCTGAGAATAATCTTTTTTAAAATCTGGAGCATGAGGCTTGTTTTTTTTGAGATCTCACACAAACATTAGCGACCTCTGTTGTGTCTGAGGGAGTGGGAGGAAACCAAGACGTGTTTCATAATCTGTCAACAAATTACAGAGCTTTATGCAAGCTCAGCTGTACATCAACAGCAGCAGCACTTAAATGTGTCTTCAATGAGGAGAGGAGGATGATTTACCCAAGATTACTTTCTTGAAATAAAAGAAATAAATCTATTGTCTAGATGATCTATGACCTATTAAATTGTCACATAACTTTGGAGTAGAGCAACAACCCAAAATGGTAAATGGACTATAATTATTTATAATTTCTTGCCTTATCAACCACTCAAATTGCTTTACACTACAAGCCACATCCATCCATTCCCGTGCATCCTTTCTATTCAAACCATTCACACTGCAGTTCAGTATCTTGCCCAAAGACACTTTCACAAGCAGACTGCAGGAGCTGGGTATCAGACCACCGCCCCTCTAGTTAGTGTACAGCCAGCTCTACTTTCTGAGCCACAAAACATGCTTCCTAGATTTTCATGATGTAAGGTAATTGTAAATAATGCTTTACAGCTCAGCAATATCAATTTGTGAATTAATTCAGACTTTAATCATTTTCGTTTGTGCCAATAACCTCTAATGACAATATTATAGGTTGTCAGTGTATGTATGCATTTTTTCAGAACTGTGTAGCTCGACTTTTGAGCAAATAAAAAATGCACGGATGTAAAATGTACAGAGTTAGTAAAAAAGAAAAGATGAGGTCTAGAACAGGAGAAATACATGAGTAATGGAGAAATACAAGCATTTTTAATCGTAATGTGAGCAGTGAACTCACCAAGGCATGAGTCTGCCAATCTTGGTCCATCTGCTCTTTGTAATGAAAAAACCAACGATGGGGTCAGTCACTGCGCCCCAGGCTTTACCAATGAACAGCACCATAGAGGCCTGGAAGGCTGTGATCTGCAGAGCAGAACAAGGACAGATTGGACTTTACAACACTTGCAGGCACAAAACTACAAAACCCATTAAACATGATCCACACACACTTTCAGAAATACTCTCTAAAGACTTTACCTGAGCGACATCGAGCAGGTAGATTTGCAGGAAGAAGGCTGTGGCGCTGGCAGCCACCTCCTTGGGCGCACCTCCGATAGCGAAACACAGCTTACTGCATAATGTCAACTTCTGGCTCAAGTCGGTCTGTGGGAAGAAAGGTGACAAGGGAGGAGAAAAAATACTGAGTAAGATGATGGTGTCCTTGTAGGTCAGGATTCTAATGAGCACATTAACTTTTCTGCACTGCAAGCGTTCTTGTGACAAATCACATTCCAGGTGCGAGTGGGGTATGTGAGAAATAAAAGACGACCAACTCTGAAAAAAGCACAATAACTGCTTACTGTTATAAAATATTTATATCTAATGTAATAAACTTAAAATATGGTGACTGCCTCCAAAATGGAAAGCATTTATGGAAACAAATTGTTTGCAAGTCACATATTCATGGCGTGTTATCATAGTTCAAGGCTACGGCCATTAAATGTAAAAGAATAATATATTTAGATGATAATTGGTATGTATTATTCACATATTTCATCAAACTCGTTTCTGGAAAAAGAAGTCAGTGATATAAATAAAGACTGCGTCATTTTTTTGTGAATAAGCGTTGATGATTCGGTCTTAACATGATAAACTGTACATTTTTATTACACAATCAACAATGAACAACATGTGTGAGCAGATCTTAACCTGAAACCCTTAAAATTCTAACCATCTAAACTACCTCTCCTTTTTTTGATTTTAGTTTTGTTCCATGAATATGTTTAATATTTTTTCCTAATATGGCAAAGACCAGTAACTTCCTGCTCACACGAACGGTAAAAACCTCTCCCCAGACACATCATTAGGGAAGTAGGTGTGTCGCTTTGGAATTAATTAAGTCATGAGAGCAGACTTGTGACTCACAGATAGTGAATACTGGAGTCATTCATAATCTAAATTCTGTCACATTCTACCTCGGGTGCTCAAAATAGCATTCTGTCTCCATCACCTTGTCATTCAGTGATTCAGTGGAATTACTCAAGTACCGACATCATGTGTTGGCTATGGTGTACAGTGGACGGAAGGTGTATTCACTGTGAGGCCTCTGTTTTCTCATAAATTCCACTCCTTTATAAATATGCAAATTGTCTCTAAGTGTGTGTGAGTGTGTGTGTGTGTGTGTGTGTGTGTGTGTGTGNGTGTGTGTGTGTGTGTGTGTGTGTGTGATCAGAAGGAGACCCCCGGCTGTTTGGATTGTGGTCTATCTGTGCAGACACTGAGGCTGATGGAGGAGCCTGAGAAACCCACCAAGTCATCCACAGCTCAGTTTCCTCTCTGCTAAAACCATCAGGCACATGACTGTGTGTGTGTCTGTCTGTGTGTCTTTGTGTGTGTGTGTGTGTGTCTGTCTGTGTGTCTTTGAGTGTGTGTAGAAAGAAGGGCAAGCTTTCATCTTCACACATGAATAAGACAAGACACCACAGTCTCAGGAGCCCAATATTTACGACTGTCTCCGAGGCTGTGCACACAAATCAACCATTGGCTGTTCCCCGCTTCTGTGTACAATCTTTGGTGTCAGGCACACAGACACACACACACACACATACACACACACACACACACAGAAAACAGTGTCACTCCACATCCAGTGGCCCGCAGCTGCTCCCCTCTGAGCTTTATGAAAGAAGGAAATCACCAAAGTAACCACAGCCACGACCGGCATACTGTTATTATCCTGCTCACGTTTTCTCTTCCTCTTTTTTTGTGCCCCATCAAAACACGGAGGGGTTCGAGAACGACAATTACCAGGAGGGAGGTGTGTAATTATTCAATCTCAAGACAAGCGGGTCAGAGGTAAGTAAAGGCTGTGCGGCGGTTCCGACTTCAAAACTCTCTCTTCTCCCACTCTCACTGCAATTACAGCTAATTGGAGAGAAAAAAAAATCAAAGTCTCTGGCGTCTGGAGAATGCTGCTTAACTGATGATGTGCAAAAATACTCTGTGCACTGCTCCGTCTCTCTCTCTTTCACTCTAAACACTTATTCTTTCCCTCCAAACTCTTACTGTCAAGCTTGCATTACTGAGTTCTTATCATCAAAGAGGATAAACAGGATATCCCGTCCACTGTTGTCTGGACGCACCAACAAAACCTCATGCACACATGCTTATAGAAACACTCAAAGTGAAGGGAGCATCTGCAGAGCTCGGACCATCAACAAGCAAGGGAGCAAGGGGACAAGGACAGATAAGACTAATCTCTGAAGTTAATGAATCTTTAACTGCTCGGGGGAAAACAATTTAAAATGCCTGAACTGCGCCGCAACTTAAATCAGGATTGAGGATAATTCTACTACAAAGAAAGAAGGAGGGGATAAAAAAAGCTCCCGAGCCAGCTTAGTTATATTCTGCAAATAAAATGCACACACTCAGTATGTTGCATGCCAAAGTTAAGCTGGTCAAATGGATCCATAAAGCAGTTTAAAATGTTGATTTGGTTTTCAAGGTCGTAACACACATTGTGGACACGGGAGTGAAAGCCGCTGGTTTTGTCCCATTACTTCAGATTAGGGATTACGAGTACGAGAGGTGAAATATGTCAGCGATGGCATCAGGCCGCTAAAATGTCAACAGAAGCCCGGGGACACTGGCTTATCTGAAATGGACATAATTTGTAACAATTAATTTATTATTCTCTTAAAAATGTGTAGATGCATGGATTTTTTCTAAAATCTATGTTTTTGATGGATTGGGAGGCTCTTCATACGCTTGAGCTGTGACAGTTTACCCATTACTGAATAAGGATCCATCATTCTGCCTCATTCACAAAGAGAGGAACATCTTTCATGTATCATGTTCGCCTCAGGCATCCTTATTAGATATGTATCATACATAAAACCTCGAAATTCTTTTCTTGTCCTAGTCCTTCAGATAAATTATTCAATGCCATTCAAACATCTTTACTAGAATAAACTATAATATGTATATTTTTTGTTCTCATTAAACCTGTCATCATTTTTTAAAGAAACATCCATCCAGTGCTCCAGATAGAAAGACTCCGGCCAAGGCTGGATTCAAACCGGCAACTGTCTTGCTGTAAGGCGACAATGCCAACCATCTTACAGAACCATGATTTTCATTATTAGAATATTGTCTCAAACGAATGAATGAAAAAACATCAGATATGCAGTATTTATGTTTATTTAATGTATTATTTAGAGAAAGTTAAACATAGATCTGCCACCATATTTGCATGCACATCATCCACCTCACCTAAGAAGAGTCACAGTAACACACACACACACACAAAACACTGCGTATTAACAGAGGTTTGGCAGAGACGAGACAGTGGCAGAACTGGTTAGATCATGTGTGGCATTGCCATGGGCACCCGTGAGCCATTGTATCAAAAACAGAAAATGAGTGAGTAACAGCCGTGGCATGGAATTACAAGAAGCACTGTCTGCATCAGGCGGTGTTCTGCCTCCCTAATGGGACAGCACGCCATTTGCCTTGTTTTAACAGTGTGTGCATGTGAGCAGCATCGGTACACACACTCTCACACTTGAGGAATGCTGCTTTACAGACTTATCACACACTAATGGCATCATGCATTCAGCTAAATGACATAATAGAGGACAAAAAAAACTGACATGCAAGTCACCTCGCTCTGCTTGTGTTTGCAAAATTGAGTATTATTCCTTTCTACTGTCTTGCTTCCTGTCGTGCCCTTGATTATAACTGTCTCGTCACCAAAGTCCGTGGATATCACAGGGATAAAGACAAAAGACAGCAATCACCACCAGGCAGGTCATCCCATCAGTGGGGAGAACCTCTCTCAAATGAAAACAATCAACTTCCAGCCATTGAATCCACAATCTGGGGGATTAGAGTTCACAGGAAAACAATGCAGCTGATTACTCACAACCAGATAAGCAACTATAGAGATCACACTTTCCATCTTTTTTCTTCTTCTCTCTCCACATCCAATCATGTCAAGTCGCTCACAGACAAACTTAACTGTAGATGCATGAAACTCTCCTACTACACAGCCAAGGGTAACAGGCATGTGAGGTGAAAGAGTAACAATACGTGAGATGACAGCCTGTAGAGTAAAAGAAAAGCAGCATCCAAACAGGTGATCTTACCTGCTGAGGTGTTTTGGGGAACAGCGGCTCAGTGGGCTTGATGAGCTTCCCCACAGAGCCCTGCACTCCCCTCTCCCCTTTGGTCATGGCTGAGAGACTGTGCGTGAGGCGGCAGCCGTACTTCTGAGGCTGCGTGTGCGACGACGTGCTGAAGTGTGTGTGACTGTGACTCCTCGTGTGAGCAACGGAGCGAGGAGCCTGCCACTGGGTGGTGTAGGTCGGAGGCTGGAACTGGATGTGGCTCTGACTGCGGGTGTGCTGGGTGTGAGTGACGGCTCCGTGGGCTGGGAGCTCCTCCTGCTCCTCTGTGACAACGGTGCCGCTTACTGCCGCCATTCACATGCTGTTGTGCTCTGGAATGAGGCCACAAGGGAAGGGCAAAGTCAGACACACACATATGCAAAGGAGACACACACATATGTAAAGGAGACACACACACCTGCACTCAATAACAAGCATGTGCTGCAACACACAAGCACAAGAATGCAGGCGCATAAAAACACACACATGTATGAGCACAGACAAAGACCTGCTCTTTAGAAAAAACATGAATGTATAAGAGCACAGATGAATACAGATGCAGAGGAATGCACCAAGAAATCACACACACACACACAAAAACACACACACACAAACACACCCACAGACACACACACACAAAAACATAAACACACACACAGTTGTGTCTCCATGACTTTAGAGGACATTACCTTGACTTACATCGAGTCCCAGGGAGACTTACTCTAACCTTAACTAGAGTTCCTACTTGTCTAACCTTAACCTTAACCTTAACCTAACTTTACCCTTAACCTAAACCTAAACTAAACCTAAAGCTAATCTTAAACTTACCCCATACCTAAACCTAACCTCAACCTTAATCTTTAACTAAACGTGACCTTAAACTAAACCTTAAACTAACCCTAACCTGACCTTAACCGGAACCTAACCTTAAGCTTGACCTGAACCTAAAGTTGACCCTAACCTTAATCTTACCCCAAACCTAAACTGACCTTAACCTAAACCTAATCCAAACCTTAATCTTATGTAAGCGTGACTTTAACGTAAAGATTAACCTAACCCTAATCTGACCTAAACCGGTACCTAACCTTATCACATACCTTAACCTAAACCTAACATTAACTTAGCCCAACCCAAACCCTGGGGGACTTGCAGAACAACACAATTACTACCCTTGCAAGCACACACACACACGCACACACGCGCGCGCGCGCACACACACACACACACACACACACACACACACACACACACACACACACACACACACACACACACACAGTACCAGTCAGTGTACAAGTCATCCAGGTTGTTACCATCACTTGCTGCATTTGACGCGCTTGCACATCTGCTTTTAGAACTAAGCGAACAGGCACGCGCAGAACACGTCGCTGTCCCGTGCAGGACTGTGATGCTGTCTGCTCACATCTTACTATCACTGTTAGTGCATCCATCAAGCAGGCGCTCCTCTGCGCACCGATAACCCACACAAAACACACCAACTGGAAGAAGACACACATCTTACCCCGTGTTGGTGGAGAAGCAGCCGGAGCTGTGGGTCAGTCAGTGAGCCAGGTGCTGGTCTAAGTCAGAGAGAAGAGCAGGATGAGACAGAGACTGCGGAGGATGGAGATGGTCTGCGCGCCTCCACTCTCTCTGAGGTTCGGGTCTGCAGTGACGGAGCTGCGCCCTGCAGCGGCCGTGACGGTAAATACTGTGGGACACCAGTGTGTGTGTGTGTGTGTGTGTGTGTGTGCGTGTTCTTGGACTTAATTCCATTTACACAGTCAGATTGTAGGGATTTATTTTCCTTAAAGCCACAACATTTTAATCCCAATGACTTAGATCATTAAATATTTGATTTGAGATAGACATGATTTATGGTAAGGTTTAGGTTTAGTTTAAGGTTAGGTTTAGGATAATGTTAGGTTTAGGTTTAGCTTTGCTTTAGGTTAGGTTAAGGTTATGATTAGATGAAGGTCAGGATAAGGTTAGGTTTAGATTAGGTTGAGGTTAAGGTTGAGGTTTAGGTTAGGTTTAGCTTATGGTTAGGTTCAGGTTGGTTAAAATTAGGTTTAGGCTAGGTTTAGGTTAGGTAAATAGTAAATATGGTTAAGGTTAGAGTAAGTCACATGGCTGTGTGTGTGCATTGGCTGTAAACACACTGTAGTAAGGCTGTGCAATAAAACCTTTCTTTTTGTTATATTTCCTTGAGGCTAACTTAGTGGTTTAGTGTCAGTGACACAGTGTCAGTGACACAGCGACACAACAGTGAGTCGTATGTGCCGATGCATCTTACACCTTGATTGAGAAAACCCCATAACATGTTTCCATCAATACACAAGTATCTAACACACCTATAATCAACGGGAATGTCATTCTCATGCAGTGATGTGGTGGAGGAATGTTTCAATTACAGTTTGGTTCGGTCAATAAATCTGTGGAACGAGGAACTGGAAAGGTGTGTTGCTGTGACAGGAATTCAACAAAGGGACGCTCAAGCATCCATCATGTTTCACATACATATTTTCCACACTGTCTCACCACCATCACCATCATTATAATATAACCATTACCATCATTATAGTCTGTACCAAGATGGCATAAGGTACGTAAGGCGTCAATGCTTAAAGCAGTACAGGACAAAGTGTTCAGACTTGTATGGGCTTATTAAGTCGCATGATGCCATTTCCAATAATGCAGATTTGGTCACAACAACATTTAAAATGGTTTACAAATATCAATTTTTTATTATTTTACCAACTGAGCAGGTAGTTTGCAAGCTTGTTGGCTGAAATATCCTGTTAGTAAAATGCTCAGAGGGGGAAACAACACAGCACAGAGACACTGCTATGAGGAGGTTTCCTCACCAGTTCACCAGCCCTCCCTGCAGGTCTACTCCCTGTGAAACCAAACCTGTAGAACCAAATACTTTGTTCATAGTTGTGGATTAATTTCACTGTGCCACCTCCCAATCTGAACACTCTGTTGTGTCAGACTGAAGCACAGTCATCGTGATGAGTAAACAGAATTTCGGTTTAGTTTCGACTTTGTCTGGCAGGATTAAGATGTCAGTTTGATTTCCACTGTGGGTATATTTTGCTGTTGGATCTACCTTGATGTAATATGCAATGTGTACAATGCACTCACAGTTGTTTTCATGTGACGTGAGCAATTTACATCTCCACTTAATGCTGTGTTACTTTTGTGCAATCTACGATGTACAGTGCACTCTGTTTTCTCATGTGCAACATATTTAGATTTACGGGTGAACTTATTATTTTTTAATTTATTTTAATTATCTCTCCGTCTGCTTTTGAGCCAGATGGAAAAACATGTTGTTCAGATGTGATGGTGTATAATTTTTGAATAAACAAAACTTTCATACTCTTGATACGATTAAACAAAAGGATGCTTTATAATAAATTATTCTTAGGCTGGACTCAATTAAATCTACTAAAGTATGTTTTTTCTATGCATTTTTCAGGTTTGGGTCCCACACACACACATGCTATTTTTATAGAGCCCTTTCCTTTAAGTCTATATGACTTGTGGCATATTGAGTGCCCTTTGTTTTTCCCCACAAAGCCCCTCATAAGCAGTCCTTTTATCGCAGGATGATTATTCTCCACAGTAAGCCTCTCCTCAGAGTATGACAACAAACATGTCATGGAGACCTCGGCTCCTGAACCCTGCACCTCTCCAATGAATTCCAAGCACGCACACCAAAAAAACTACATTATTGACAAAGGAAAAGGCACCAAGACATGAGAAGTCAGGCATATGACCTGCATTAGAATGGGTATGTTTCTGATAATGCGTGAAGAGGAATGTGCAAAATGAAAGGTTGGCTGCTGCGCGAGTAAAAGGGTCATTCTGAAAGGAAATGTGGGAGTTAAAGGGAAAGTAATTCCCTGCATACTTAGCCTTATTAAATATGTAGCACAAAGGAAATGTGCTCTCTTTTACTCTTTAGCCAGACCCCCTCTGGCTGTCAACGGAGTGATGCTCACAGCCTGCACGTTCAGGTTAAAAGATCCTAAAATGTGCAGCACGGCCTCATGAGAGGGTAAATCTTCAAAAGGGGATTATGATGTTTCTGCTGCCGAGTTCCTTCCCCTGACCTTGACCATTCTGAGGCTGTCATCTCAAATGCACACACACTCACATCCCTCCGTCCCTCCCTCCCATTGCTTTAAATATTGAAGATGGATAATGGCGTTCGCCTTCTTCGCAAAGGCCGGGCGGAAAAGCTTGGACACAGAGACGCAAGCACACACACTTGTGTAAAAGGACACGCGTGTTCTCACACACGCCAAGAAAAACAAGATTGAAGACTCACAAGGAAACAAAAGAGCAAGGATCAACTCTTTTTCACCCCATCTGAATTGCATATTTTTTCTTCACCCCTCTTCAACTCAGAAGCCACTGACTTCTATCAGTGTAGTTCCACCTCATTCCATCAGATAAATGCTTTTCATATTCAGCAGGACGGGAAAAAACACAGTGAAGACAACACTCCTCCGAATCTGACTACTTTGACATCAGCAGCCCCTCCTCAATCTCAGCCCCCATTAAATCAGTACTGACAGCACAGATGTTGCATTACAACATGAAACAAGGTTCAGCTTGGTGTTAATGCCATAATCACCATACCAGCGGTCTGCACACAACGCCTGGGCAGCATTAATATGAATTCATAAATAAATCAGAAAAACGCACAGAGGTTTGAGGAAGATTTTTACTGTACAGTGATGTGTGATGCAGTCAAATGAAAGAATACAAATTATACATTTTGAATTGAATATCGTCCCACGAAAAAACGGCAAATTGGCCCCCCCAAAAAATCAAATAAGTGATGGACCTTAACAGTCAGGCCAAAATAAATAACAAGCTGTTATATATATTTTTTCTGTTTATCATATAATATATTGTGGAAAAGAAGTATAATATGATCAATAAATATTTTTGTAAACCTACGAGATAAAAACTGGAACATCAGCTGCTTGTTTTTACTGTAGATAGTGCAGAAAAATGGTTATCACAGTTTAGGAAGACTTTGGAGAGTTGGTTGTTGGAGCTGGTTGTTGGTGGTGTGTGATTATGGGGGATGGGTGAATGCAGGGTTACGTGTGGTAAACCGACAGATGGACATACATGGTCGACCATCTGCGCAGGACGACAGATATGGTTTTGCGTTGATGGTTTTTCTGCAATTATTGAAGCTCCACTGGCAGATAAACACAAGACAGAGTATTGACAACAGCACCTCGGCAGAACCTTTGTAAGTAACAGACAATGTTTCCATTAGATATTCCCACACAGAGACTGCAGAGGGATATAACAATCATCAAATGCAGCAAATTGCTGTATATTAAGGTATGAAGTTACAGAGGGCATTGAGGATGCTGTCGCGGTGGTGGGGATGTGTCAGTGAGGAGGAAAAGTGACGTGCTGTGTGAATTACGGGGCCCTGTTGGTCAGGAGTGTCCGAATGGCGCCTGTGTGTTCAGGGGTCTCTGGACAATGACAGCGTTGGCCAAGTCTGCCTCTTCCAGGCTCAGCTCTTTGTCGCTGAGCTCTCGGAAAGGAAGCGATGTGGTCAGGATGAAAGGTGGACAGCTCCTCTGGCAGCGCGATACGAAATCTTGAACGTCGGTGATCCTGGAAAATAAACAGAATTATATAAAAAGACAGAATATTCCCTCCTGAACACCTGCCAGATACTATAAAGCACTATACTAGTATCATCATCTATTATTTATCACGACTCAGCATGCACAAGCGATCCTATGGCGGCGCATGTCTTCAGACCGAGGCTAGCTGGAGGTTGCAGGGGTTCAGTCCTCTCTATCCTTTATCTGCTAACCCTGTTATATAAAAGCTGCATCAGAGTTACGCAATCTCTCTCTCTCTGGGGATTTTATAGATCCACTCCGTTGCTACATCTCAGATTATGTTTTCTGCAGCCCCATGCACTGTGGCAGGGGGATAGAACATGCACCGTGCCTTCAAACTCCAGCAGACTAGAACAAAGCATTACGTAATCCTCCGACAAACCCCCCTCGCCACTTCTCGAGCTGGAACAAACAAAAATCTTTTGTCATTCCTTGAGCTACTTCTATCCTGCAATGCATGAGATTACGGGATTTGCAGACAGCACAGCAGGAGTAGAGAGAATCAAATTTTTTTCCCCTTACATGGGACATTAACACTGTTTTTTTTTATATGTAGATGTTATTTGATGTTGTCGAGCTCACAGACTGAGATGTGCAGAAACGTGTTTTGGCCTTGACACCGTGATACTTACCGATGCGATAGGTTAAACCTTTGGACCAATCTCCTGCCGTCAGCCAACCAGATTTGCAGGGAGGTGACGGGCAGGGCGTGGTCTAGTGTTACCATGGGAATAGGAGGAGATTCTCCATCCTCATGCACAGACGGTGACCTGGCCACAACTCTGGGTGCAACACTGGGAAGAGGCAGGAATAAATAACAGATTAAGAACCAATTGGGAGGACAGTATTTATAGCCTGTGCTGTATGTGTTTTTCTAAATTTGATAACAGCTATGTGTGGGCAGAGAAAATCTTGTACAAAAATATTTTTGGCCTCTCTGGAAAATTTAGTATTCAGAAAGTGATGCTCTGAAAATGCTGGGGCTCTT